ACCAAAATCTTAGAAAGTAAAGCCATGGATTCAGAGAGAATACTGTATTGTCTTTGCTAGTTGCATGGTACTTAATCTTTTTTAAAAATGAAAAAAATAGGGGCCAGGATTTAGCTCAGTGGTTTCGCCACCTGCTGCGAAGGTGCAAGGACCTGAGTTCGATCCCCAGCACCAAAGAAAAAAAATGAAAAAATTCCAAGCTGGTGGCACACACCTGTAATCCTACCACTCTGGAGGCTGAGGCAAGAGGATCAGGATCACTGCCAATTCAAGGGCAGCCTGGGCTACATAGTGAGTTCAAGGCCAGACTGAACTACATAGCAAGACCTTCTCAAAACAAAGCAAAACAAACAATAAGAAAGAAAGAGGAAAAATATTGCAAATAAATAAGCAACTATACTGATTCATTATGGGATGTTAATGCAACACTTTGTGATTTTTTATGCAGCATTTTTTTATTTATTTATTTATTTATTTATTTACTTTTGGTAGCATTTATGATTGGAGCCCAAAAGGGCATTGTCTGAGATTTTGAGATTTCTTTTAGAGGACCTGGGTTTCTTTCCCCTGAGGTGGAGAGGATGTGAGTTGAAAGGAGGGTGGTCCCCAGAGCCTTGTTTATGGGTGTTCCCAGGGAGACAGTTCATAGTCGGCCTCCCCCCTCCCCACCCCGACCTGGGATCAAACCCAGGACCTTGTGCTTGCAAGGCAGGTGGCAGAACCACTGAGCTAAATCCCCAGCCCAACAGTTTATAGTCTTGTTTCTCCCTGCTTTGAAGACTCATCCATCTTTAAAAAAAAAAACAACTCGAAAACAAAAAGCAAAACTCATCCATTCTCATGATATTTAGAAACAAAATGTCTGAACATAATATCCCTTGTCCTTTCAACCAGGCATGGTGGTGCATGCCTGTAATCCCAGCACTCTGGGAGGCTGAGGCAGGAGAATTGCACATATGAGTCTGGCCTGGGGAATTTAGTGGCTGAAGGAGACCCTGTTTCAAAATTTAAAAATATAAAGAAGCTGGGGATGTAGCTCAGTTCAAAGGCCCTGGGTTCAATCTCCAGGACCACCAATATGAAACAGAACAAAGCCCTTGACCTTTCTAGGAATTTCTCCTGCAGGAATAATCAGATGTGGAAAGAGAATTGTGTACATTCTCTTTATAAGATTGAAAAACTGGAATAGTAATAACAAGCATTTGTTGAGCACTTTCCATGGACCTTACAACCTTTGTCTCCATAATGGTTTCCATTCTACAGACAAAAAGAAATAGCACAGAAGGCTTAGTAATTTGCCCAAGACAACAGAATTAGTATATGGGGGAGACAAGATATGTAAAAGACAGCAATAAAGGGCTAAGGATTTAGTTCAGTGGTTCTGCTGCCTGCCTTGTAAGCGCAAGGACCCAAGTTTGATCCCTGGTACCCAAAACAAACAAACAAACAAATGAATAAATAAATAAAATAAAAATAATTTCAATAGCCAGGTGTGGTGGTACACACCTGTGACCCCAGAACTTGAGAGGCTGAGGCAGGAAGATTGCTGTGAGTTTGAGGCCAGCCTGGGGCTACAAAGTGAGACCCTGCTTCAAAAAAAAAACAAACACTTTTTAAATGAAACATTCTTATAATCTTAGCTACTTAGCTACTCAGGAGTTTGAGACAGAGGATAGCCAAGTTCAAGGACAGCATGGGCAACTTAGTAAAATCCTTTCTCTAAATAAACAAATAAACAGGGCTGGAGATGTAACTCAGTGGTAGTATACCGCCGGGTTCAATGCCCCATTACCAAAAAGTAAAAAAGAAAGTTAACAAAAAATTAAAAAATCACCTTACAACAGGTCCGTTTCATTTATTTACTTGCTTATTTACTTTTTTTCCCCTGGTACCGGGTATTGAACTCAGGACCTTGCACTTGCAAAGCAGGCACTGCATCACTAAGCTAAATCCCTAGCTACTTAATTATTTTTAATTTTATTAGTACACATTTACAGCATATGCAATTTATAATCATCTTAATGGTTACATGTACATATACAGCTTGTTTCCTTCTATTTTTTTGGTACTGGGGATCAAACTCGGGTCCTTGAGCTTGTGCAGCAGGTGGTGAAACCCCTGAGCTAAATCCCTGGCCCTAGCTTGTTTCCTTTTTTAAAAAAATCTCCTTCCCCTTCCCTCCTCCCCCAATTTTCCTATCCCATTTTTCACTTTTTTTTTTTTTGGTACCAGGGATCGAACTTGGGACCTTGCGCTTGCAAGGCAGGCGCCAGAACCACTGAGCTAAATCCCCAGCCCCTCATTTTTCATTCTTGTTGCCATTAATAATCTTAGCTCATATTATGGCATATAATGTTTACATCAATTGAGGTTATTGGGTTCCTCTAATCAGGTGCATCTTATTGCATATAAGTTATACCTGAACAAAACTGACTTAACACTTAAAGATATAAATAAATATAATGTCCTGAAAGGGATCTGTTAGAGAAGAATAGCAGGATGTGGTGGTGCATGCCTGTGATCCCAGCACTCAGGAAGCTGAGGCAGGAGGATTGCCCTCAAGTTCGGGGCCAGGCTGAGCTACAGAGCAAGACCCTATCTCAAAAAATAAATAAATTGGGCCGGGGATTTAGCTCAGTGTCACCACACCTGCCTCACAAGCACAAAGGTTCTGAGTTGGACCCCTTGTACCCCCCAAAAAGAAAAGAAAAATAAATTAGTTAATTAAAATAAAATAAAAAATTTAAAAGATTTTGGCTGAGGATGTAGCTTAGTGGTTTTGAACCCTAACACTAAAAAAAAAAAAAATTCCTGGGTGGTGAATATGGACTGTGGGTTCAGTCTCTGTGTCTGCAGCCCAAAGGTTTACTTTCTTCCAGGCACACAGGACTTGGCCTGTGCCCTGTACACATCCTGAAAGCACCTTGTACTTCTTGGCATTAGTTAATAGTGTCACACATGCCTGAGTGTCACGTTTGTGTCTGCCTCTCTGAATGAACTCACACTTCTCAGAGACCAAGTACTGCATCTAGTTTTGTCACCCTCTTCATGGTATCTGGCCCACAGCAGGTGCCCCACTATTTGTTAACTGAATGTGTAAGTGAAATAATGGCTACAGGAGATGGGCTTGGCCTCTGGGTAGGAGACTCCTTCATACCTTTCAGGAAGAAATTTTCAGGGAAGGGCAGCAGCAAAAACCTGTCTGTGAAGGTCAGCTGATCCTCCCTAACATAATGCCCCCAGCCTCTGTATGTAGGTTCCCCCTCCATACCCTCAAGCTGGACTCAGGGTAAGGTGTAGCTCCTAGGCTTTGGGGTCAAGTCCTACATTTCAGGAAGCATGCCTCCATTTTCTCATTGTCCAATGGGGTTCAGGATAATGTTCACCTGGGGAAGGAGGGTCCCAGGGAAGAAAGTAAGGGCCTTAAAGACTTTGAGGGCAAGTGGGGTACGCTGTCACATGTCTGTAATCCCAGCACTCAGGAGGCTGAGGCAGGAGGATTGCCGGGAGTTCAAGGCCAGCCTAGGCTATATAGTGTGCTCAAGTCCTGCCTGAACTACATAGCAAAACCCTGACTCAAAAAAACAAAATCAAATGGAATTAATATGAGAAAATGAAAAAATGGAAACAAAGTCTTTGTAAATAGGGAGGGTTGGAGGGGTTGAAGGGAGGCAGAGGAATGAGGAAAAAAATAAGAACCAAGATAGATTACATAAAGGTACAAATTTCCAATGATGAATGTCATTATATTGTATACCTAAAATGTGCCAATAAAATTTTTTTTAAAATCAAGGGGCTGGGGATTTAGCTCAGGAGCACTGTGCCTGCCTCGCAAGCACAAGGTCCTGAGTTCGATCTCCAGTACCAAAAAAAAAAAAAAATCAAAACCCATCCAAAGAAAAAAAAAGAAACCCCAAATTTAACTTAGTGACTAAGTGAGACCCTGTCTCAGAATAAAAAATAAACAGGGCTGAAGATGCAGCTCAGTATGAAGGACCCCTGAGTTCAACCCTCCAGTACCAGTAAAACAAAAACAAAAAATTTCCCCTCACCTACCTGCCCCTGACCTCTTACTCTTACAGCCTTTTTTTTTTTTGGTACCAGGGATCAAACTCTGGACCTTGCGCTTTCAAGGCAGGCACTGGAACCACTGAGCTAAATCCCTGGCTCTCAACAGCCTTTTGAGTAAACTTTAGTGGACTAGATTCTTCTACCTGAGAGGTTCTCAAAGTGCAGTTCCTGGAAACTCAAGGGACTCCACATTGGGCCCTGCTGTTCAGAGACAGGGGGCGGGCCCAGTAATTGGCCTAGTAGCAAGCCATCCAGGTGACTCCTCAGAGGGACTCTGAGTTCGAAACCTTCAGCTTTCCTCTGCGTTCGAAACCTTCAGCTTTCCTCTGCTCTAAGTTCCCAGACCAGCACGCTGGCCTGCTTAGTTCCCTTCCCTTCCCTCTCTGTGGCCTGACATCAGGTCGGGGTGCAACAGGTACTTACTACAGGCTGGGGGTGTAGCTCAGTGGTAGATAATTGGCCTTGCATGAGCAAAACCCTGGGCTCAATCTTCAGCACCGCCAAAAAAAAATAAAATATAAACATTTAAAAGTATATAAAGAAAAATTAATGAACATTTAATAACAAGAGTGATGGGCTGAGAATGTAGCACAGGAGTAGAACACTTGCCTAGCATGCTTGAGGTCCTGGGTTCGATCCTCAGTGCCATAAGAAAAAAAATTTAATATGATTATGATGGTAGCAACCAGTCATTGAATGTTTTGGGGGAATGAACTCTTTCAGTAGCCACCGCCAAGGATCATTTTACAGACAGTGAAACCAAGGCTCGGGACGCCAAGCGCTCTCTCCGGGGTTCCCTGGCCGCAGACCTGGTAGGAACCCCGCGCGTGTCCTCGACACCCGAGCACCCCAGGCCCGTGCACCGGGACGGCGGGGAGAGCGGCGGCGGCGGCGGCGGCGCCCGTGGCGAAAGTGCTGTTGCGGAAGCGCGGCGAGGCCGGCGGGGCAGGAAGCTGGGACGGCGGCGGCGGCGGCGGCGGCGGCGGCGGCGGTGGGGCCGAGGCTGAGGGGTCTCGGAGCGCCATGGGCCGTCTGCACTGCACGCAGGACTCGGTGCCCGAAGCCGTGGGCGGCGACATGCAGCAGCTGAACCAGCTGGGCGCGCAGGTGGGCCGGGGCGGGTTATGGGGTCCCGGGTGACCGCGGGGCGGGGCTGGGGCCTGGGCGTCCAGGCTGTGGAACCCGGGGTGCGTTTGGGGAGTGTGATCTGGGCTGGGAAGGGACTGAGGGCAGTGGGGTCTGAGGAGAGTGTCAGGGGAGTCAGGGACTTCTGGGGAGTCCTGGGACGAGGAGAGTTTGTGGGGTAGAAGAGGGACCAAGAGGAGACCATGGTGAGGCTGAGGAATGAGGAAGAGACGAACGGAGTCGGGGGCCTGAGAGGACTGGGGGAGCAATGGAGTCCAGACTGACATGAGTCTGTTGGCTGTGATCAAGGAGAAAGAACCCAGCAGCCCAGGGCCCTGGGGAAGCCTGGCAGGGACAGGAAGTCTGATGACAGGAGAACTGATGAGAGTATCAGTAATGACTAGGCCCCAGTGGGGCCCCGGGCCGTTCCTGAAGGGTTAGGGACAAGGCTGGGACCACCCCTCCACGCATGCATTTATCAGTGCCCGAAAGACCCCAGGCAAAGAAATTACAAGCACAGTGGAGGACCAGACCTCAGTGGTGGGAGAGCTGGCAAAGCTCCCTCTTCCCTACTAATACTGCAGGTGGCATTTTGCCCATCTGATGGTTGGGATGCCCCTTTATTTTATTTTATTTTTTGAGCAGTGTCTCAGTGTACCTCAGGCTGACTTTGAACTTACTATGTTACACAGGTTGGCTTTCAACTTGCTTTGATCCTCCTGCCTCAGCCTCCCGAGTGCTGGGATTATAGGTGTGTGCTACCATGCCCGGCTAAGGGATGCCCCTTCCAAAGGATCCTCACCGCAGCTTCTCAACCACCACTGTAAAGATACATCTTGTTGCCCACAGTGGATTATAACTTGCCAGGAGATTAGGCCCCTCTCTTTTTGTCTCAGTATCCCTCATAGCTTTTCATACATGTAATAGTAGTCCTGGTTGATGAATTAAAAAAAACAAATTTTTTTCATAAAGTAATGGTAAGGAGGACTATAATGCCAAGCATGATCTAAGACTGCATTGTCCAATAGAAATATGTTGCAGTCCGGGTGGGGATTTATCTCAGTAGTGCCACGTCTGCCTCACAAGCTCAATGTCCTGAGTACTGCAAAAAAAAGAAAAAAAAGAGAGAGAGAAAAGAAAAATTAAGTTGCAGCCATGTGCAGTGGCAAACACATGTAGTAACCTGAACACTTTTAGAGGCTGAGGCAGGAGTCCCAAAAGTTCATAGCCACCCAGGTGTACTGGCTCATGCCTGGAGTCCCAGCACTCAGGAGGTTGAGACAGGAGGATTGCCATGAGTTCAAAGCCAGCCCGGGCTACATAGTGAGTTCAAGGCCAGCCTGAACTACATAGTGAGCCCCTGTCTCAAAAAACAAAACAAGGGCCAGGGATTTAGCTCAGTGGTTTTGCCGACTGCTGCACAAGTGCAAGGACCGGAGTTCGATCTCTGGCACCAAAACAAAACAAAACAAGATCATGGCCAACTTGGGCAAGTTACTGAGACTCTATCTCAGAAAAATAAAAAGAGGTTAGGGTTGGGGATGTAGCTCAGTGGTGCCGCACCTGCCTGGCAAGCAGAAGGTCCTAAGTTGGATCCCCAGTTCTGCAAAAAAATAAAAA